TTAGGAGCTCCCAGTAAGAGGGGCGTGAACACGCCCTCCCGCGAGGGTGCTTATCCTTACTTCGGGACAGACATTCACCTCGGAGCATTAAAGTCAATATTCACCACTAAGACTATCTTAGCTTTATATAGATCTCTGTTACTCAAAAGTCCTATATATAGTCTTGCGGTGGCCCGTTTCCCCTGGTTGCATAGCCTTTTTACGCATTATTTGCTATATATTAATAATACTATTTAATAGAGGATATAGTAGCGCTGATTATCTAGTCTGCTATCGAGCTAGCGGTAATAATCGTTTGTATCGGAATCCTAATTCTACGACCCTCCTATCGCCGCGTCCTCCGAGATTCTAATGGCTCCGAGAGCCTTTACTGGAATCAAAGAAAAGTCGGAGATATTAGTAATAATAACATTACCAACAGCACCGGGCAGCGTCAACAGTTCAGAGAGAGCGACGAGTGCATTTTGAATATCCTATCAACTAATAATAGCATCGAGTTAAGCACCTAGGACCTAGAGACCGGCGTCGAATAGTACGACTTAGCGGATAGCGTCCACCTCTTTTTCTTTTATTTCTTATCTTTATTACCCCTTATTTCTTTATTTCCCTTTATAAGTCTAGACAGAAATTCCGACTAGAGTTAATTATAAAAAAATCAAGTATATATATAATGCCTTCGCTCTAATATAGTCACCAGGAAGGTCTTTTAGTAATAACTTTATATCGTGATTATTGAACTATATAGTCTAATACTTTAACTAACCGAGATAGGACACCCTAAGTACTTACCTTAGGTAACGAGGCAAAATTCTTTATTCGAGCTCTAAGTCTAATATTACTCCTAAGTCCCCGAATAAATAAACGGATATAAAGTCTTTTTCCTTCCCGTATTATATATTTTATAGTGGCCGGTGCCGTTTTCGATATATATTAGTCTAGAATCTTAAACTGCCCTAGAATAAACGTTCTCTTAATAATATCCTACGGGTATAGGAAAGACCAGTTATACGCCCCCCCGTGTAAGCCTATAGGCAATACTAGATAAGAAAAATAAAGCTATATAGGGTTATATACTAATATATATAGCTTATAGTAATATATAGCGTATTAGTAGGCGCTATAAAGCCGTTATTGGCTAGAGCTTCTAAACGATATCGTATAGAAAGAGTATAGGCATAGAAACGGCGCTATTAAGAAACGGGTATACGTACCTGGAAATAAAAGACAGATAGGTGACTTCGTACGCTGTCTAGGGTTCTATCTCTAGGGTAATATCTATTCCTTACCGGGTATACTTCTAAGCCGTACATTTCCACTACTCTATATACCAGGCCACTTTTATCTCCTAAATATAAAAGGCCTATAGGCACTAACTCCAGAATATTTTCCTGTTCTCTTATAGTAACTAATTCTACGCACGACTATATTATATAGTCTTTTACACCTTTCTATTTTCTTTCTAAGATCCCTTCTATCCTATACTAAATTATAGCAGAGACACACCCAGTGCCTATATAGTGTAAGGTCGTCTTGCTTTATATCAGAGATATACGTGGTCATACTTTTATCGACGACTTTAGCTATATCTTTATCGATAATAACTATAATCTTCACCACGTCTTCGTCCACCCTATACCGGAAGCCGTCTAATTCCGTATACGACTTAAAGTAATAGAATCCGTGGCACCGTAGATAAAGGAGATCACCATAGATAATATTATATACACTATATAAGTATAACGCGTTAATAATTCTAACTTAGAAGAAAGACTAGAGCTTATATATTCTAGTAACCCTATCGCTGACCACTTTTAGCGATTTACTCCTTATACTTAGTTCTCTCCTTACCCCCCTATAGCTGGAGTCGCCTATAAAGTAATTAGTTTCTTTAACACGAAGAAGCCGACATAGGTGTAACTGGATAGTGGTGAACGCCTTAAATAGGAGTATATTTCTGACTCTACGGGGTATAGCCGTGCGGTTACTCGGTTCACTCTTTCGGTAAAGGAGAAGATAATTAATATATTATTTTATACCGACGATAGAACACCTATTTAAACCACTGTCCCGTGTTTTGTTTCGTCAGGACTAGCCTAGATAGTAAATTCTAGTATACTCTCTGTCTTCGTCTTAAATAATCTAAGAAAACTAAAGGATACCTAGCGTATTTATTTTCGCTAAATAATAGATATAATACGTCTATAGTACAACTTACGATGGCCTATGTATAGGGTAGAGTGCCCCCGAGCCTTACGGTAAAAGACTGGGTATCCTAAGGTCTTAAGCTTCCCGTATAAATAGGTAAGGAGCGATTTAGGGTGGTCGAAGCGTTTATAATAGTCGGCGAAGTCGCTATGTTTCGTGCGTGGTATATACGGCTAGTAGCTCCCCGGTATAATAAGTGCTAGGGGGAAGAGTAGTGAGTTCTAAGAATTTCGGTACCCGTTAGGACTACTTGTTCCTCGTAGTCAGTCAGAGAAGGTAGAACTAACAGAAAAAAAAGAACTAACGGTACCTTACCCTAATACGTAAAAACGTGTTTTCCCATAGTAAACGCCCTCCTTCTATATTACGATATTATAATAATAACTCAATTAATTCCATCGATCCTTTAATCACCTTAAAGAGCGAAAGCAGGCGTGTATTATACGTTATTTTTTAGTTATACTACGATACGTTATTGCCGGCCAGTCCTAAGGACCTTTTTCTCCATATATTACCAGCAGTTATAGTAGCAGATCTAAGTCGTTATATCTTCCACAACATATTACGTCCGCTCTTAAAAGTAGTCTCTTTGGATTCCTCGGGTCGAATACTATACAAATATCAAGTAATTCTTCCCGTCAAAGCTAATTCTACGACCCAGCAGTCAAGACAATTCGTGCGTTATTACAGTGGCAGACTTACAAGTCCACGATCACGTGCCTCACACACATCCAGGCCTCGTTAACGCCCAGTATCAAATACAATAACAATAACCTCTTTACGATTATATAATAGGAATCTACAGTATAATCAGTACGATTAAGATACTACTCTGTAATAATATTTATACTACTGGACGTAGTAGTGCTGGTAATCCTTAAGAAGAAGGGGACGAGAATGCTTTTATATATATACTTATAGCTCTATAAGTAAAAAAGTATAGATAGGTACACCAAAGTACTTAGTATCTTTGGTTCCTACTTTTCAATTTAGTTCTACCTTTCCTGACTAACTACGAGGAACGAGTAGTCCTGACGGGTAGTCCTAATCTATACGGTGTACCTATACTCTCCCGTATACCTACCCGGGTACGAATGTACCTTTGATATAATTAAACAGGGGTTAGAGTGTACGTGTAAACTGCAGGACGCGTACTAATTTAGCGTCGAAATCAGAATACACGCTAGTTTAGCGCCGGGAAGGGTAAGGATTATTAGGAATTTTATAAGGGGAAGGGATATTCCACCAAACATTGCCTTTTGACCTTTCGTGTATACATAAGTACCGGAAGTTTAGTCATGTACGAGAGTGTGCATGTTGGCCCGAGTCCCACATGACACCTGGCAGTGCATAGAATGCCTAGAATAGTAGTACACGGTCCTGAAAACCGTTCAAGACTTCAAGCCCAATAGGTTAAGCGTATACCTGTTGTGGGGTCACGCACAACGTTGGTCAAAGCTTGGGCTTACTTCGACAACCAAGGCACATGCAACGGGGCGCAACACGGAAAGCATCTAATCGTGTTAATAGCTATGTTAGAGTCGTTGAGGAATACCAGAGACTCTGGTTACCAAGGACTAAAGCAATACTTGTGCATATTTGCACCTCCGCAGTTACGGACTTACGTCGATAGGGGCTATTATTATATCGAACGTCACGGCAAGTCGCCCTTCGTCTGTTCGGATTCAAGATAGATTGCCTCCACAGGATGCTGGAAATTTTCAGGGCGGGCCAGGACCCACGTAGAGCTGTGGGGAGACCTGGATCCGTGGACTATTCACCTCTTGCTGGATATCCCGTCACCTAGCCTCCCAATTGCATATAAAATAATTAATTGGCGTGAGGTGCGTGAAGGATTTTCTCGGGCCAAAGTATATGAGGAAGGTGAATCTAACTGGGCAAGAAAATAAGGGCACTATCTAGGTAGGATCTCTTACTGGCCGTCTAGAGCTAGAGGTGGGCAGTCGATGGATGGATGATCCCTACTACACTGGCGACTATTAGAATCAAAACATCAGTGTCCCTTGCCCCTGCGGATCGACGCTCTGGTCGGTTGGGTTACTCAAAGATCAGCTTTACTAAAAGTAGACGACTTCTGTATCTTTAGCTGAGAAATTTGGGAACATGGTATTTCTCCCTGTCTATCCTAGCAGTTGCCTCGTCGGCAGACCCAATCGGGAAAAGAATTAGCTAGACTATGCGATTTATTAATTCGCTAGATGCACAGAAGCAAGTCTAGACTTCTCTTGAAATTATGATATTGGCTCGCTGTAACAGCAGTGCTCTTTGGACAAGGACTCGCTGATAGAGCGGGAGGATCTCACCTGGGCTTGGCTACTGGGAAGGTTATCACCCAGGGGTGGCTGGGTCAATGCAAGCCTCATCACGTCTGTTGGCACATCGGCATAAAGGTAACTCGTGGTCAGTTGCACGTTGCCGGTGAGTGTTGCTGTAATAAGCGGCTCTATTCAAGCGGACTGCCTGGGTGGCCTGCTTCTGGGTATGTTATTTTCCCGGCACATTCGTAGGTTGGCATTTCCTAGCCACGAACAGCAACATGACTACACTGCTGCTAGGGTCGGACACGCTGCGATCAGACATGGGACACCATCACCAGCAGACTTAGCGCCTCCTTCTGTCGGGGGCCTGGGATTCGGTACGCATTCGGGGTGTCAATGAAAGAGATTCATGCTAGAGGCGTGTAACAGGAGTGACTCACACGGCACCTCGCTGAAGAGGACCATCATGCAAAAAAAACCAGGACCCGCTTGTGAAATTGTGTTTTCTGCCAATTTCACGTCTGAAAAATCTCATATCGGCTTATGCGATTGTGTCTCTTTCGTCGTCATGCGCTGGGGGCGTATCCTCCAGAGCTGCGCGGTACCGAGGCTGTCGTCCATCCGCAAATTCTTCCTCGGCACACGGAAGCAGGCAAGTGATGTCGCTCGCAGTAAGCGACGTAGGAGACTTTGTTCCATAGTGTAAGTTGTCCCGGGAGTACTGACTATGAAGCATCCACTTCACCACATGGTTAGCTCAGCCCGGAATCCAGTTGGCAGTAGTTCCTTAAGACTCACTAAGGTCCGACGGGCAGACTCGGCATTAATAATCTACTCCTTAGTTGCGTTGTTGGACAGTACGTAGGTTTCTTCCCTATGGAGATGCATCAACAGGGCTAATCTTGTCGCGATACCTAGGTTAATCTTACTTCAGGATCTTTACCGGCATAGTCTACTGGGTAGATAAAATACGAATAAAGACTGGAAAGGAAAAGAATTCTAATTCAACAAAGAGAACACTGATGCTGGCTAGTCTGGAGGCGTGCTGCAGCAGCAGATGCGACCGCTCTTGGTTCGCTTTCTTGGTGACCTCTCTGTGGTCGGCCAGTGTCATTCGTGCCTTCTCGAGAACCTGAATCGACAACCAGAGCTTGTAATCAAGCCCGGTCGTCTCTCTACACAAGCAGCAGCAGCTCGCGCGACGCTGACTCGTTAGCGTGGCCGTTTGGCCGCCATAATATGTCACTCACCGGGTCGGCGACTAGACCGCCATTCTCCGCGACCTGGCCATTGCCGCGTGCTATCGCCAGTGGCCGATTCATTTTCGCCAGGTATATCGTGACTGGGGGTATAAGAAAATTAGAAATAGAGGTCGACTGGGGAGGAGTCGCTTCGACTACGGCCTGTATGGTCTGCATCCGTGGCCCGTGGCCACTATTTTATGCTACGGTTCGGCATCCTCGTCAGCGACCCTCCTATGCTTGTCCCAGAATTCGGCCCCGTTACAAAGCGTCCTGCGCTGCGTCGAGCGCCCGTGGTGTCTCTCTTCTACTTTCCTGGGGGCTTCGTCCGGGTGCAACTTGGGTATATCCATGGCAAGCCTTACGGGAAAACCCAATATATAGAAAAAGCCAGTTGCCTTCGATCAGTATCTCTGGGTTTTATTGGTCGATTGGCTTGGGAGGAGAGTATCAGAAGGGCGAGCTAAGCGGGGTTAGCTGTCTGTCTCTCGGGGGACGAAACGCTCCAAAGCGGCCGCCACTGCCCCTTACCCTTCCCTTTCCCCAAGACTTGATTGGTTGGGCTGTGCCAGCGGCGGCCGTCCGTCCATGGGTTGGAGCTAGCAGTATATCCGAGGTTATACAGTGCTGAGGGTCATTTTCGAAATTTCGAAACGGAGGGGTTTACGTTGAATTGCCTCCGGAAAGGTCGCTATAGATTGATAAATAACGAACTATGCCTCAATATGGAGATAGACATAGCGGATGGCAAACTTGCATGCTCTAAGCCCGTGAACTGGTCGCCTGAAGCCGTCGACTTCTTGGCCATGACTATGGATTGGTCTGCCACGAAACTGCAAAAGGTATCTCATCCTTTCCTCCCTAGCTGGCGAGCCTAACTGACTGATTAGCATCCGCTTTTAAGAAATAAAGCGCGGATTTCGGAGTTGATGCCTCTGGTTTCTCTAGCACAGGTATCTGCTACTAGATTCTACGACGTGCAGAGCAAGGCGAGATCATAGCGATGTCTCTTAGATACCTCAGACCCCCTAGATCCGTCTCGTGTCTAACGCCCCGTCGAACTCGATGAGCGGCTTCGCAAGTTGATGCGGTCGAGGATGCTACTCGTTCCAAGTTCTCTTCAAACACAGCTAGGCTAACAAAAAGAGGTTCCACTCCATCAGTTGCCAGCCACGCGCTCCTCGATAGAGGACGCCTAAGACCTGTACCCTACCATCGAGAAGAACAAGAACGGACGAGGTCTTCATCGTCAAGCCGACTATTACAGTCCGCTTCCCGCTTTGCCTCCCCTCCTCCTCCCCATTTCCCCTCTTCATCCCTTCTCTCCCCTCACTCCCCTTCCCTCTTCATCCCCTTTCCGTCCCTTCCTCTTCTTTTCCATTCCGTCCCTCCCCTCCTCGTAAGAAGGCTTTGATTCTTGCGACGCCTTGCCGATCCCCTTCCGTTGTTTCGGCCTTCTCCTTATCGACCCAGCCATCGGTATAACCACCTCCAAAGTCGATGATCCAGATGTTATCCTTCCCGTCGACTAAGATGTTTTCTGGCTTCGCATCTCCCCAGACGAGACCAGCCTTATGTAGTTCAGCGACGCATGCATCCAACTCGCATGCCCAGCGAAAAAGTGTGTCAGGGGAGCAACCTCCGCGACGGACCCTGCTAGACAGAGTCCCCATCCACTTCGGTCGGTTCGTCTCGATGAAGGTAAGTAAGATCCCAACAAGTCGTGCCGGGATGGTACTTGGTTCCACATCACCGCCGCAAGGTGTCCGATCGTCGCTGTCCACCACGACTCCACGTAGGCGGCAGATTCGTAGGTCGTGCTGAATTCGTCTTGATGTAAAGGCATTTTGGATTTGTTTATACGTACGAAGCTCCGTAAAGTTTGCTCCGGGGGGGCGGGCAGACTGTTGCCATCTCTTGAAGAAGTATGGTTCGCCGTCGATCAAAACTTTCTCTGGGCCGCTCAATCGAGTATCTTGCTCTGGGGGAGCAGGAAGGCAAATTTGGCTTGACGGATAAATGTTCGTCACCCAGTCCCCAAGATCCGCTAGTTCGGGCCATTGATGCGTATAGTCTCCAGGAAGGGACTCTTTCGATTCTTTGAGTTTCGGAGTTATTTCCGTGTCTTCCGGATCCGCTATCGCCTCAAGAACGAAGTACCTTGGATACAGGTAGTCGGAGAGGAGATAGCCTTGATCTGGAGGTACCAAGCTCTCCATTAGAGGCTCGAACGGCTTAATCAGCTGGTGCACCGCTAACGGATTGCCAGCCTCCTCGTAGTCGTTCGACAATTGGCGATATTTGTCAAAGAGGTTAGAAGGTGAAATGTTTCTGGGTGAATACCGGATACAGAATACGCTACCAAGACACCGAACAGAGAGTTCAAAGTCTCCTACCTCTGCTGCACCTGGCGTCAGATGCTGAAGGTGGAATTTTGGCATGGCTAACAATACGGGAAGAAGTATATTGAATTAAGAGTGAATTGGAGAGGAAAAGCTGTGCCATACATAGTGGGGGCCATTCTCCTTAATACCCTTTAAAGACGACCCTGCTTCCTGACTTGGCGCAACCGGCTACGTACAGCCAGAAATAAAAGAGGCAAGGCGTTGGCACCCTCTTCTGACGCATGCAGCCGAACCATCACCTAGGACAAACAAGACTGTCAATTCTCGCCTCTGTTGCTGTATTCAGGGGTTCCCTTACATTGGATCACCTTCACTCTTCCCCTTCGATTTCGAACAATACTCTCTACCGCAGACACCAGACCGGTAACGCGTTGCAGTTGATGCTGGGGGTGTGCAACGAAGCTTTATGGTCGTCCCTTGCATATACGGCGCATCGTCACAATCAGCCGGGTCCAGCGGAACCCATTCCACGTCGCTCTTATGGCCGCAAGCATATTGATATTGGAATTTCTGGCACTTAAGGTGGAAGGCTGAAGATTGTCTTAACCTAGCAAGGAGGCAGATAGTGGCGAGGTTGGAGAATTTGGTCATATGCTCGAAAGATAGGCACTCAGGCAGTGGACTTTATATAGGCATCCAAGAGCAACCTTGTTCAGCATTGTGCACCCCATGTATTGCGTTCCTCTCCTATACATTACTCTATATGGGTAATACTGCGATGCAGAGCTGGCAAAGCCTGAACACTATAATATGAATGCAAATCTTGCTTGAATTGGATTCCTAACTTGCGCAGGGATGGACTACCTAGTAGCCGGATATGCCACGCTGCAAGCCTGGTTGGTTAAGCAGGTACACCACCATAGTCTCGCCAAGGCATGGAGTATGTGGACAGTAGTTCCGGTATCAGCTATTCTAGGAAGGATCAAGAAGGTCGAACTTAGGCAGGCCCGTAATGAATGATTTTGTTGCTTTCCTTGTTCCGTTTACTAAGGGGCGATCCGATAGTAAGGTCTGCTTGGATAGGAGCTAGATCTCGAAGCAGAGACTTAAGGGCTGTAAAGACCGGCTCCGGCGTACCTTTACCTCCTCCTCGAGCTGCTAAATACGCTAAGGTAGTGGGAGCCTAGTGGCGGATATATAGAGGTGCTTAGCGTAGGCATAGTCGTTAAAAATCCATCGATTCGTAGAGCTGGCATTATAGGATGTTAGGAGATTCTTAAGAGATAAGATCCCGAATTCTTCCTAAATAAGTCCTAATCCGCGCTAAACCCGATTAAATAGTGTTAGGTTAAACGCTATCTAATAGAGTTTAGCGTTCTGTTTTAGTAGACGTGGCGTAGGTCTATATACCCTAAAATAGATCTTAAGGCCGCGACTTATCACCGTCCTAAGCTTAGCGAAGTGGCGTTAGGACTAGTCCAGATATAATATAATATACCCTTAATTACAGGATATATTATTCTAGTACTACGTTTAAGGTAAGGGAAGGTCCAGAATATAAGTTTAAAAAAGGGGTGCTACCTAATAACCTGTAAATAATGGACTAACTAAAAAAACGGCGACTAGGGTGCTATACGGGTGCTCCTTAACGACGGATAAGGGTAGCGCCTTAGTGTAGGGTGTATTATTCTATACCCTGCGGCGCTGTGCGTGATTCTATACTCTATACTACCTATTATTAGCACCTTAGAGCAGAATCGGGATACTAACAATAGCTTCACCCAAGAGGTCCTCCAGAAAACTCCGAAATTCTTCCTAAAGGAGATTCAATCCGCGCTAAACCCTATTTAATAGCGTTCGACCGAACGCTGCTCAATAGGGTTAGCGTTCTATAGGAATACTATATCGGATATCTAGGGGAAGCCCCTGCCTCCCCAGTAACCAACCCATTCTAATATCAGAATATAAATAAGGTACGCGGAATTATGTATTCTAAGAAGAATATCTTTTACTCTGCGAAAATATAGAACTATAGAGTAAAGTAGGGGGAAATAAGTGTGGATATATAGGATCGATATATTCTCGCTGGTTGGACACAATAAGGGATGTCACACCTCGATAGGTGCCAACAAGGTGAGAACCATGCTGCCCTGTTCCTGACAGAGCCATGGCCTCTGACAAATCCAGTTCAATGATCAGCCGAATAGTTCATCATCCAATTCGGTGTATATATGTCTGGACGCCTTGCACAGCGCACGAACTGGACTTCCGCAAGATCTCCGCATACGGCCCTGGCGACCACTGCACCTCCCCACAGCCACGTCAGTTGCCTTGTTGCCTCTTTTCATCCCGATGCAGGAATCTCTCGACCTTGTTTTGTGGCTGCGAGTCGGCTCCTTTTGTTCCACCGTGCGCCTTAGTATCTTTAGCTTCACGCTTGTGGTCATTTCAAGACGACGACACAACCACGTAAGCACCAGAACGGAGACCTTTCCATCGCTCACCGTCTATTTTAGTCACCCAAAAGCTCTCGAAATTTTCTGGATCTCCGACTTTCCGCTACCGCCCTTTTCGCCACCGGTTTAGTCTATATAAAGAAGGGAATTGATATACACGCATGATACTTTTGATAACTTTTCTCTCAGGAAGCTTTCCTGCCGCATCTGCAACGACTCGAAGACGCAGGTCGACGTGTAAAAGCAGGGGTGGTAATGTGAGTTGGTTCCTAGGCGACACCATGTTGGTCAGTAGATTCGGCGTGAGGTGGTGGACCAGGATTAATAATGTGCATATGCTTCGTAATGACATGCTAACCTCCGGACGTTGCCCTCGCTAATATAGGCACGATCCGCGGTCGGTTATGGATATCTCGACTATGCTAACCCCCCTAACCCATGATTACACGCTATTCCTTTCCTGGAGGAGGGTATTTCCCCTCTCTAAAAGTGGTTTTAACTATAACCTCTCTAAATACGTCTAAAGTAAGCGCCTATCACTTAGTTACCGAAACTTATCCTGATCCTTATATACTTGAACTTAGCTATAATAAATCTTCGCAGGCACTAACTATATAGTAAGCCATTATACCACTAGTATATATCCTAACTTAGGGCACGTATTTAATATAACGGTGATAAGACGCGCGGCCTTAAGACCCACTTCGGGGTATATATACCTAAGCCGTATCTCCTAAAATAGAACGCTAAGCCCTATTAAATAGCGTTTAACCTAATACTAATCAATCGGGTTTAGCGTGGATTATAACTCTTTTAGGAAGAATTCGGAATCTTTAGAGAATCTCCTAGTATCCTATAATACTAGCCCCACGAATTAATAGATTTTTTAGCGATAACTATACCTACGCCGGGTACCTCTATATAACCGCTACTAGGCTCTTACTACCTTAGTGTATTTAGCGGCTTAAGGAGGAGGTAAAGGTACGCCGGAGCCGGTCTTCGCGGCCTCTAGGTCTTCGCTTTAAGATCTAGCTCCTATCCGAGCAGACCTTACTACCGGACCGTCCCTCGGTAAACATAAACGGATAAAGAAAATCAACGGAATCATTCTTTAACGGCCTACCCAAGATAGAGGCTAAGCGGTGCAAGAAAAGGGAGAGTCTTTGCTTATCTACGGCAGACGACATTCTTCGCGTGGTTGACTACTTGACGACAATCCGACTGGACAATAATGGTTGCTCTAGAACACATGCTACAGAGCCAACTCTGTAACTGCAACTTGCTTTGACTGCCTTTGGACGGAATGTTAGCACCAATCTAGCACCAGAAAGCATTCGTCAGAAGACCTACCGTTTCCTTTCTCTTATATTCCTGGCGGCATGCTGTGTGGCGATATATCTAGGCCATCCCGAAGATTTGGTTAATAATTCCAGACTCTTTGCTTGTTTCTCCTTTCTACCCTCGGTCTAGGTCTTATAATATCCTTTATTTGGCTTTTTTGCTAGCTTGTATGAACTCTTCCTACGACCTAGACTACTATTGGAGTGCTTACTCTATAATAGGTCAAGCAGAACTTCGTTTCACCTCTTCAGATTGCGCCACGATGCCACCAGGCTAACTATTTTACAGGATATTATCCCTGGCAGGGAGATGAGCCTGGCAGCCGGAAGTTCGGACAGGAGGTGGCGAGTTAATTCCGTGGGACGTGCAGGCTTTCTAGGATGTCGAATATTGTTTAACTAACTGCATTACGGTTAGTTAACAGCGATCACTAGTCGTATCGCGTGATGATTATATCTAGAGGAACTGTGATTATAAGGGTAATGGGGCTATGCTGAAAGCGTAACGATAGCGTATATAGAGGTTAATAATATGGTAATATGATGCTAAGAAGCGGCATTAAACTGGCGAGCCGTTGAATTTTATCAGGTTCGGCTATAAGGGATGTTCTCGCCTAGCTATTGAATAAATATCTTATTACACTGCACTATCGTACCATTCGATATACTAGTCGCGGACGATGGTTACTCCACCGAGAAGTATATCAATATCGAGCTGGGTGAAGAATGGGCAGGTTATTCACGGACATCTCACACTACTATATTTTAACCGAATTTACTCCTAAATTCTTTGTTATGAATGAATTGAATGTGAGCAGGCATTTGATAATTACATTCTCACTATCTTTATAACCCGGGAATATGGAAACAGATTGACCTGCCAATTGATATGTACATACATCTTATCAATAAAATAACGAATACCCTTTTAACACCTTCATGGTTGCCTCTTCATCATCCTAACCTTAAGGCCCTCCTGACGAATGAACCAGCTGTTAGTGACTCTCCACTGCTTAGGATCAACTAACTCAATCTTAAAGCGCGTGATAAGCGTAACTAAAACCTTATACACCTGGAACAGAGCCATGTCCTTCCCAATGCAGACACGGCTTCCGCCTCCAAACGACAGATTGTGCTTGTTCATATCCTTCAGGCGACTTTGAAACGCCTCCTCGGTCTCATCGCCTTTCTCGTCACGCAACCAGCGCTCCGGGCGGAACTTATCCGGATCTTCGCCGTAGATAGTCGGATTGCGGTTAGTGATATAAGGATTCATGCCGATGACTACCCCCCCGGGAATGTAGTCGCCGTTGCGGAGATTGACACCGCCTCGAGGGACGTAACGCTTCAGCGGCATGGAGACGCCAGGGAGGACACGGATGGCCTCGCGGATGACGGCATCGACGTACGGTAGGGCGCGGGCATCCTTGTAAGTAGCGGGCGTATGGAGGTTGTGCGCCAGTATCTCGGCCGTCAGCTTCTCCCAGACGCTGGGATTCTTGAGGGAGTGGTAGAATGCGCTGCAAATAGTGCTGGCGGTCGTGTCGGCGCCGGCGATCATGTTGATCATTAGCCACGAGATGATTTGCTGTTCGGTGACCCTGTCCGGGTTGAGTTCCATGGCCTTAATGAAATGGTCTAGGAAGTCGGGCGTCTTCGGGTCGTGATAGCCGCTGTCTTTGCCCCCAGACCAATCATTGAGGCGATAATTGAGGCGCTGGACGCAAATGTCGGTGATGGTGTTGAACCCGGGCGGGCCCATACGCAAGAAGGGGTTCTTGTCAAAGAAGTAGTCGAGGAAGGGCATTGCGCCGACGACGACAAAGTAGTCCATTGCCTTCTTGGCGTTTCGAAGAGTGCCGTCGAAGTCGCAGCCCTTCGCGAGGTAGCCGATAGGCTCAGAGAACGTGACGGCACCGATAACGTCCCAGGCGTCTGCGGCATATTCAGCAATCTGACCGGTTTCTTTATTAAATATCGATTAATCGGAAGGGAAAGCGAACGCACAGTATAAAATCCAGTCGCTAAGGTCGAACTCATTGGGCGCTTCCGCACCCCCCAAGCATCGAGTCTCTAGCTGGCTGCACAGCATCTCGATCATCGTGTTCATGTGTGGTTCGAGGTCGGCAATGCTGGCTGTGGAGTAATGCTTGGCGATCGGCCCTTTTTCCTTCTTATGCTTCTTTGGGTCGGTCTGGCTGAAGAGATTGTAGACAATCTGGCCATCGTCCATGAGGGCGCTGCTGCCGTGATAGAACTCGGTCTGCCAAGGTATCGTCAGCGACGATATCAACCACAAAATATCCATTTACGACTATGCAACATACCTTCGGCCAGCCGTTCCTAATGTGGAATATGGTACACATTAACTCCGGTAAGTCAACATCGATCATGTTAGGCCCAGTGCGAACAATCGGCCCATGCTTCTGGTGAAGCCTATATAGCTCAAGGTGCGAGTCACCTGTCCAGGACTGGTAAAGATACCATAGCCTGGTCCATCCTAGAGGGACAAAGTCAATAATAGGGACTTCGCCATCGGAGGCTTGCTGAACAAGATTTGAAACTGAAAAGCGACAAAGGGGGTAGCGACTTGCTTGCAAAGAACGGTCCGGGATATTTTCTCAACGGCGAAGTGAAGTAGGAGTAGAGGTTCCAAAAACAGCATGTCGCGATAAACATCAGAAGGGCCGATACCCCCTTCGAGAATACCACGACAACATTATTGTCCCTGGACGAGACTGGGGAGTTTCCCAAGACGTCCGACATGGCTGATTCCTAGAAAACAAGAAACGGCAACGAATACCTCAAAATGCTCAACGCCAAAGCCTGATAATAGATGTGGCAAAATAAGAAAGCGTTCTTCTCAATGTTTCGATGGTCCCCTGCAAGGATGGGCGAGAATATACCTTTATGTACTCTGTATGGTACCATAGATGAAAGGGTAGCATGGCTTTGTGCTCCCCAGAAGGCCCGGACTTACACCACACAGGAGGAGCGCTTGTGCCGAGTGTGCGGGGAGTCGACTCCCTTGCCCTGGTTCCTTGGCGTGGTGTTATTGATGGAACTTAACTCCATCACCCACCCTCATTTTCTTAGTCGACCTCCGGGTACAAGGGATACGCCCCCGGTCCGCGGAAGGGGCGGACTAGCATTAATCTGGAACCCAGGGCCAGTGGCATACACGGCACGTAACCTCTTGAACACGCCAGGGTGGATTTAGTAGATGACGAGATCAGATTTGTTATGGTCTTGATCCATGTTCTGCCCCTTGTTCCTTGCTTCCAACCTGGGGGCGGGGTGTTCTAATGTTCCACCCATTCACTGCCTCCGTAGCAGAATATTGTTTAGTCCCAGGTTTTTATCGTTGTAATATCCTAACAGTAGGGTTAATCTAGCGCCCAAGACTCGAGACTCAATGGGTGCGATATGCAGAGTTGAGGAAAATAGGTAGTGGTAGCGCATAACCGCCTTATTGTCCCGTTGTACTCTCAAGCACGCTAAGTGTCTTCATCACTACTCCCTTGGAGATAACGAGTGTATGGGAGTTCTGGGCCTGTCTTAGCAAGTGCAACTGCATTCCGCAAGGAATTTGTCGTGTAGCCACTAGGAACAAGCCTAGGAAACCAAGGCAGCAAGGTAGGAGCTTCTCATGCTATCCTGCAACTTCCGTTGGATGTTCCCGCCGGGGGTGAATAAATCCATCTGCCGATATCGTGCTGTTGGTCTGGTGTGACGAGACCCCTGGAACCTTCGTTGTTCTGAAGCTCTTATCCATGACTCGGGAATAGAACTATGTCACTGAAGTACCTAGACCCGGAACTGCTTCGATGTCGCTGTCCGAGGAATTAGTAGGACGAAGATCCAGCCGTATTGCCCCTTACTGCTCGATATATAGTCCGAATATATATACCGACCCGGCCTAACTCTATACGTCCGGTTTAAGAATTAGACGTAACACTTAGCTTTCCCTAAGGACTAATCCCTAGAATATTAGTATTTCTTACGATTTCGACTTAAGATAACCCTGCTTAGATAACTCTAGCTATATACTATCCTAGACCGTTTTATAATACGTTAAGATAATCGACCCTAGGGGTAATAGCCTAATAGCGCTTAGTATTATATAGTTATTAACGGCCGTGACGCTTATATTCGTTATTATCCGAGTAATTACGAGGTAGTTTATTATCTATAAGCTCGGTATAGACGATTATATCTACGTCTTAGCAGGAGTAAGTACCTTTCTAGATAAGCCGACTAAAAGTCTAGTAATTTATATTTTCGTACGTTAACGTAGTATTTAGTTACTCCCTAGATCTTCCTCCTACTCTACGTAACCTTTATCTAAAAGTCACTACACTATAGCTTCGGCCTATCTATCGCTAAGATCTTAGAAATAGGAACGATATAAGATATAGCGAACGCTATATACTAGGAGATAATCGGCTAGATATTCGCCGTTATCGGTATAGCCGTCTTTAAAGTATCGCTTAGTTTCTTACTATGTTATCTTATTATAGTGTTTTAGTATAAGATCGTAATCTAGGTAGTTATAAACGTGTTAATATTAGTCTCGATCCTAATAGCTATTATATTTTGGCTATAATACTAGCCCGTCAAGGCTATTTATAAACCCCCTCTTTAAGCGGCTACTACTTATAATATTAAGATTACTCCTTTCGCCGTTATATTAGGTAGTAAGTCGTGTCGGCGATCTAAGACTCGGAACGACGCATTAAAACTAAGCACGTGGTAGTCTTCTATATTATTACTGATTTTTTCTTCGCGTTATTCCCTTATATATTTATTTAGAACTTTAATATACCGAAGTAGGAGAAGATTACTATTATAGGTAGTATAAGTTTAGGTATTATATAACGATCTCTCTTAGTCTTCTTTCCGACTATACGATAACTAATATATACCGTAGTGCTAGAGTAGCCGGTATCGTATATACCTATAACATAGCCTCCGGCTTCACCGAGAACTATATAAGTAAGCCCCTTAGTCTATCGGCCTAGCTATAAAGTCTATACTCTAATATTACCGAATAGAGGACACCATGCCCCTAATTATCTAGTCCGCCGTTAAACTAGCCGTGATAATAGTATATATAGGAATCCTAATCCTCCGCCCTCTTTACCGCCGTGTCTTCCACGGTACTAACGGCTCGGAGAACTATAGACTAGGCTATAACCTAAGCGGTATTAAGGTTATTATAAATACGGCTAGGAGTATTAGTAAGGAGTATATCCTAGAGACTATAGGCCGTGAAAGCGAGTCGGCGAGCGATAATAATAATAATAATAGTAACGAGGAGACTACCTAGTAGTTAGAGAGCGGCGACGGATAGGCAGGGTACTAGATACACACTAAGGAGGTTAATAAGGTTAAGTAAAATAAGTGGTGATACGGCGTAATACGACGCGTGCGATCACGTAAAAAGTAATCGCCGTAGGCGATTTTAACCTAAGTCCGGAAGGAAACCTAAATGCCCTTATCCGCCCGCCTTATAGCCGTATATTATTACTCGATCTTCGGGCTAGTAAGGACTAGACCCTGTTAATGCCAGCCTGCAGGCGTACTATGCCCTCTTCCCTAGTATAGGTGAGGGTGGAGGAGGAAACCCTATTATTTACTCTTCTTTATCTTTATCTTTTCTTCTTTTTCCCATTTCTTTTTATCATCTCATTTTATTTCAAATTCCTTTTTATCCTCTTATTTTATTTCTTCCTTTTCTTCTCTTCTTCCCTTATTACTCTATTTCCCTGTAGATAGATAAGCCGAAGTTATGCTTAATCTCTATCCTTATTACTACACGAGATAAGGTCACCTCCTATTATCTTATTATAGGCTAGGCGATAGGCGAAATAGATTAGGGCTGTTAAGTTAGTAAGACTAGAGAATTCTAACTTAAGCTAGTAATAGTTAAATAGTAGTAAGAGGATAATCCCGGCCCGCGATACTAATAATATAGCCGTGTAAGCTTCTTCTAACTAGCTAGAATCGTATATAAACAGGATAACGTAGAGGGATATAAAATAGTTATTAAGCGGTCTCTACCGGGGTATTCCGTATTAATCGCCCGACTCGCGTAGAATACCTTAAAGTAATCACTACGGATAGTATCGCTTACTACGCTTACGACGCTATAGACCGAACTATGCTAGAGAACTATACTCCTCGCCTTATATCCGACTAAGAAGTGATAAAGGAATTAATTAAACGAACGGGGTTATAGGTCCACTCCTAAGCAGCAAAGAACTATAAAGTATTATACGTAAGCATATATAACAGGGCATAACACGGAAAGTATCTAATCGTGTTAATAGCTACGTTAGAGTCCTTGAGGAATACTAAAGACTCTAGTTACTAAGGACTAAAGTAATACTTATATATATTTACACCTCCGTAGTTACGGACTTACGTTAATAGGGGCTATTATTATATCGAATATCACGGTAAGTCACTCTTCGTCTATTCGGATTAAAGATAGATTACCTCTATAGGATACTAAAACTTTTTAGGGCTAGGAGCCACGTAGAGCTATAGGGAGACCTGGATCCGTAGACTATTCACCTCTTACTGGATATCCCGTTACCTAGCCTCCTGATTATATATGAAATAATTAATTAGCGTATAGTGTATAAAGGCTTTTCTCGTGCTAATATATACAAGGAAGGCGAATCTCACTAGGTAAGAAAATAAAAGCACTATCTAGGTAGGATCTCTTACTAGCCGACTAGAGCTAAAGGTGGGTAGTCGATAGATAGATAATCCCTACTATACTAGCGATTATTAGAATCAAAATATTAGTGTCCTATATCCCTTACCCGTGCGGATTAACGCTCTAATCGGTTAGGTTACTTAAAGATTAGCTTTACTGAAAGTAGACGACTTCTGTATCTTTAGCTAGGAGATTTAGGAATATAGTATTTCTCCCTGCCTATCCTAGTAGTTACCTCGTCGGCAGACCTAATCGGGAAAAGTATTAGCTAGACTATACGGTTTATTATTTCCCTAGACGTATAGAAGTAAGTCTAGACTTCTCTTAAGATTACGATATTAGCTCGCTATAATAGTAGTGCTTTTTAGATAAGGACTCGCTAATCGAGCGAGAGGATCTTACCTAGGCTTAGCTACTAGGAAAGTTATTACCTAGGGGTGGCTCGGTTAATATAAGCCTTATCACGTCTATTAGCATATCGGGATAAAGGTAACTCGTGGTTATTTATATATTGCCGGTGATTATGGCTATAATAAGCGGCTCTATTTAAGCGGACTGCCTAGGTAGCCTGCTTCTAGGTATATTAATTTTCCGGTATATTCGTGGGCTAGCGTTTCCTAGCCACGAATAGTAATATAACTATACCCTTCCTAGTCTTTGGGTGCTACTACTATAGTTAGAAGCGCTACAGTTAGGTATAGGACACCGTTACTAGTAGACTTAGTGCTTTATTCTGCTAGGGCCCTGGGATTCGGTATGTACTCGGGGTATTAATAAAAAAAAAATTATACTAGAGGCGAGTAATAGGGGTGAGTCACACGGCGCCTCGCTAAAGATAACGATTATATATAAAAAACCAGGACCCCCTTATACTATTACGTTTTCTGCTAGTTCTATATCTATAAAATTATATCTCGGCTTATACGATTATATCGTAAAATAGCCGATCTAGCTAATTCGGGGGCTAATTTCTGGGTAACGGCTATTTTTAGGGTTATAGTATAAGAGGATCGATATAAGTTTCTTAGAAGATTATAGCGTGTAGGAGTATAACTAACCAAAGCTAGAAGGGTGAGCACTGCTGAATATGCCGAGTAGGTTATTATCTACGGCACACCCTCTTATAATCTTCTTGCATAGTGCCGACCAGGTACTCTGTATGATGGCCTGGTAGACGAAGGGTGTTAACTAGGTGTTAACTGGGTGTTCGTGAAGAGTAGGTTACTAGGGATACAGGGGCCCGTCCTGGATATCAGTGATATGACTCCTGAATACATGTCTTACCCACGTCTCCCAAAACAAAGCGCTAACCCTATTAAGTAGTGTTCGATCAAACACTATTACACGATGTGGGGTTACTGATCTACCTCGCGAAAACTTCACGTTATGAGAAAAGCCTTGGCTTCCGCTCCGCTTACATGATTGCTCCGGAGCATCAGGCTTGGGAAAGTCGACGTGAACGTTGACGACTACACGTCTTCAGCTCCATTCATGCACCTCACGGACGCTCAAGCCATCTACTATCCCTGTCATCCAAATCCCCTGTCCTCCAAATCCCCTTTCTGCAGACGTCAGGCTTCTCCTGGAGTCACGACCATGATCCTGGCCGATAGGCCATCCTTGGCCCAGCCTTTGTGTTGTCGAGTGGCCGTCGGATAGGTCGTGAACGACATGGGCCGTTGACGGGATTATGTCCAGGATCTCGGCCCCATACTTGCTGGGCGAGCCAACCGCAGACGTGGCTCGCTCGTTGTGACTATTGATGGATGCGGTACACATCCCCAGCTAGTGCAGCGAGTGGCGATGTGGCGGCCAAGCAAGAGACGAGATTTCACGTCCTCTGTATAGTCTCGTAAAGCTCTCTTCCTTCACAATGCGCGCCATCACCTCTTAGCTGGCACCGGCAAACGAGCCCAGAGCTATGCATGCCGGATTTGAGATTCTGTCGACACCTCCATTATGCACCGTTTCAATCTGGGCCGTCTTGACCATGGGTTAACCTACAAGCTTCAACACACTCCCCGACGCTTCCATGACAGGGAGGGAGACGAGATCGCTTGTGCTCGGGAGACCGTCGACGAAGCCCGGAAGAACCTCGCCAGGACAGCGCTCGACCTTTTTCACCTAGCGCAGGATCAAGGGGTCGCAACAGTAGAGCAGGGCGAGAAGCGGGCCCGTAAGAGAGTAAGAAGGTTATGAGCAGAGTGGCGGAGGAACTGGTCCTATTGGGCAAAGATTAACACGGACGTCATAGGGAGGGCAGAGGAAATCCATAGAGTTTTGAATGCCATTGCCTACGTGAATCTTCCGACTAAGAATCCCCTGGTGAGATAAGGTCTACTTGGATGTGATTGCTGCCGAGTGCTGTGGAGCTCAAACTGAGCATAGGATGATGGTGATTATGTAAACCGCCTAGCCTACATCCGCCCGGAAGGAGTTGGCAAGGCTACGAGCGCATCTCGATACATGTCGGTTACCCAGGAAGCTAAGTTTTCTGTGAGAAGTTGTGGAGATGAGACCTGGTCTTGTTCACGGAGGCCATCCGATACCGAATTCGCTCAAGGATCATGCATGTAAGTCACATAGTAGCTCCTGGCCAACTGTTCGTTCTCGGCCGCTTGTCTTGACGATCCATGGAGTTGGAGGGCAGTTGGCTGAGCTGAGCTCCCGAGTCTGGCGAGAAACGGCCGCGATGGTGGTCAAGCCGCATACAGGCTAGATGGGCAGCAGAGGTTGCTTCTGGCAGGTTATGGTGTAGTTGTCAATGGTACTATGCATGACGGCAGGACCGGCCGGTGATGTATCGCCCATGCCCAAGCTCGCCATGTCAAGGGAGTCGACAAGGCACGAGAAGTTCGGCTACCCCAGACATCCTGTACCTCGTCCGGAGGGTCAACAGATATAAAGACCCCGCCCTTTTCGCCGTCAAGTTCAGGATCTCATCAACCGCACCATCCAGGCCCCAAGTGCCAGCAGCTCTGCCGGTCATAGCTCTCTTGTATTATCTCTTGGTCTACGACACTTCCATCATTGCAGACCCAACAAGGACCCTGTAAGAGAACTTAGAACAGATACTGCAACATTCATAATGTCTTGCTAACGCTCGTTCTCAAGGCCGAGTCTCCCGTCGTCATTATCGAAGTTCTTCCAGAAGGACCACATCCTCTGCCGTATTATAATCATCTACATCTTGGACGTACGAAGAACACTATACGAGATATATTCATTCTCACCCACAAACATGCCTCACAAGGAGGACCAAGACAAGAAGCACCGCACTCCTACCCCTCCTCCGCCTACACTCCTCCCCGCCTTTCTCCCCCGCCACCCTCTCCCACTCCTCCACCAGAAAATGGCGAAGGAGATAGACCGAGTTTTGATATGGACGATGTCCTAGAGGAACCGAACATAGATATCGGATTCAAATGATCCAAGGTAATACCAGTTGCGCCTCCGACTCAAGCATCTGACTCTGACCGCAAGACTTCAACCAGGCGCCCGACCATATATATCATCGAAAAGAAACCTCTCGGAAGGAAACCTTGGATCGGAGCAATTGGAGTATGGAATTTCAAAATGGTCACTCGCTACATGTTGGTTATTAAGACGAGGTAGAACCCTGTTTCTCCTACTCGGATATGGCCGTTATATAGTCAGCAGCTATGCCCGGATAAGCGGGGTTTGGCAGGCCGCCGACGCGCTCGAACATTTATCCGGACCGCCCCACTTCGCCAATGCCGAGACATTGACTGCTGTCCCCAAATTTCCCACTTCTGCTCTTCAACCTCTATCTGTACTTGCTGGCCGGCCTTTACAGATGGCGGTTCTTCTGCTAATGTGCTATTGTGCCCCTCTGTCTAGGCTGAATACCTCATAACCGGTTCTGTTTACCTATAGTAGCCCCCCAGTGCTCAGCTTCATCTGGGTTGCGACTCGATCCTGAATTGCCCAAGGAGCTCAGTTTGTTCCATGAACGTGATGGACTTTGCGGCTGCTTTATGCTCGATCTGTCCTAGTCGATAGGTCTAACAAGGTTGTTTGTGAACAGCTGTGATCCACGTGATGCATGCATGTGACCCGATCATTAACCGGGAGGTGCCTGACGAGATCTACAGCTGACAATCTACGGTTCGGGCGCAATAGCCACCCCACCTGACGCTTTTAGGCCGACTCTAATGGAAATTCGAAATTGTGTATAAACAAGCACTTCCATAAAACTTCTGCCCGTGGAAATTTCTATGATGATTATCGAAGAATAAGATTCATCATGCTCCTATTCACCCGCAATGATGAGTTGCACGAAGAGCTGAAAAAACGTGCAGCGCAAGTCCAAACCCGGTTCGAAGACATGAATTCTGTCCCGAACGTGAAGGGAATATTGAGACTACCGGGCCTTCCGGCAATTGCACTTGAGCTCGTCAGGTTCCTCTACGATAGAAAGGTGCGTTTCACACCTTGTTGCAAGGTCATTACTAAAGGCATCCAGCGAGAGCACATTAACGACTGGGCAAAGGAGAGTGGAATACGCATTCATGACAAAGCCAGGCTCGGTCCCCAAGTAGTTTGGCTCCACAAGGTTCCGGTTGGAGCTAACAGACTCTTGATTTCGGTCGTTATCCCAAAACCCAGTCAAGACAAGAAGACAGAAGCAGCAACCCAGCAGGTAGGGCTCATACCGAGGTACTGTTTGGTGCAGGCGCTGAATTCACAATATAGGCTGTCATTCCTCAGCAAAACGAATTGCGGTCCAAGGTCCGCGTTAAAAGGCCAATTGCCGAGGGGCTTGGAGCTTGGTCTTTACTTGATCTGGAGGTCGGCGACGTTATCATCCTGGAAGGAAACGAGGAACTTCTTATTCAGAGCTCTAAGAACGACACCATAGAGGCTCGGGGAATATGCTTGCTTTCGGCTCAACACGACACATGTCTGGTAGAGAAAGGAAAAGGGGGCTGGGCGATGCAGTGATGAAGTGAGGAAGCCGCGAACACAAAGGGATGTTGCTGGTCTATTGGGGTTCATTGAATGGAGAGGCTCATAAGGGTAGATCCGACGGCTGGGTCTCGAGAATTGCATCCATGTCCCACGACTGGAGAACAGCGTCCATATCATGTCCGAGAAGAGTGTCTGGGTCCCTTGAGGTGTCATTATCGCCAAATAAATGCAGTGTCGATGTCTGATGAGGGATTGCGGAGCTTGGCTGAGCGTTTTGGTCGCTGAGTGAGCCAAGACAGAGGAATCCACGCACTTTGTCCCTCCTGCTACTGTCGGCGTCCAGCCCTGCATAATGAATACCAGCGACGTACGATTCATTGTCATTTACGCCCGGTGTAGCTCTCTCTACGGCGCCTGGCGAATGTTCCATCTCAATAGGTTGGGTTGGAACATTGTCGGCAGCATGCGAGAAGCCAGTCGCCGAAGCCGGGCATTCCTCTGTCGTGGCTGGTCTCAAACCTTCACCTTGTCCCGTACGAGCAGGGGAACATTGCGTGGAAGGAAGGTCTTGACGTCGGTTCTCAGCTCGGAGGCCCTCGTCGTTTCTTCTGTATCCCTCAACGCCCGTGAGCACATCCATATTAAAGAAGTTAGAGGCGTGGGAACAGGTGCCTGTCGAGGGATGAATGAGTCCATCTAACCTCCTGACCAGCGAATCAGTTTGACACAGGGACTCACTATTCCAGACACCAGAGTTGCCACCCTGGCTGATGTGACTTGCCTCCTGCGCCCAGCGCCCTCCTCCGTTTTCCAGGATGCTCGAGTCTGCGGCTGCCCCGCTATCTTGAGCTTCGAGTGATGCGTCTTGTGCGCCTTGGGATTGTTCTGCCTGAAACGCCCGTGAAGTACGTGGGTTGGAATTCACGTTGCTGATAGCCTCTTGTAAAGTACTGACAAGCATGTCTTTCCCACCCGGTCCTACCCATTGTGCTAATAACTCTATCATATGTGAGAGACCGCTGCAGCTGGGACGAGATCAAATACATACCGCAAATAAACCGCAGGCCGTGTGTAGGACATTCGATAAATAGGATTGCCATGACTCTGCCTACCTGTTCTATGGTGGGAGGCAATATGATCGGCATATCTTTCGTGCCGTTGGGATGCCTTTTGAGCTTTCTGAGTACGCTGGGTGTTCCTCTCATAGCGATGACTGTCGCTTCACTGGGTAAGAACTGTATTGTCGCCGCACTTTCCTTGTCTCCCGTGTCATACAGCTCCTGGAACACTCTCCGAACATTTGAAGCCCTCGAACCCTTTATGCTCCATTCTTTCCCGCTCTGAAGTAAGTTGTATGCCTTCAGGCTATCTTGTTCATCACTGCGTCGCTTCTCTTCTTCAGCATCTGCTGGGGAGTGTTTGGGGGGACGGCCTATTCTAGGCATTTGATCCATCGTGCTTGCGGTCAAGCAGGCTCGGGGGCAGAGAGCTGGCAAGCAAGGCGAGCGATTAGGGGCGTGATGAGATGTAAGAGCAACCCGACCGCGGCAAGTAGGTTGTACCGCGTATTATGAAGAACGCGTAGTGACGGCCCACTCTTCACTAGGGCACGGTGTGTGTCCACAGGAACCCACCTGCCGATCCCGCGTACGCGAGCCGCCTGATCATTAGTACATGTACATACTGGGGTGCTCCCTTTTTCTCCGAAAAATGGCTGAACCAGCACTTTTGGGGAAAAGTGCGGATTACACGTCCCGCTAGTCACGCAGCCAGATCACTAGTCGCGCCTTCGCCTCGGGCACCGTGTCCCTGGCACTTGGACGCAAACCAGACAAACTGGTCCGTCTTCGCTGCCTGCCTAAAGAAGTGACAAGTCGCATAAGGCTAGACTAACACTTATAAGAACAAAAGCCAAACGCATCATCCCGCGAGTATGTGTCCATCGTTCTTTCTCATCGACCAAGCATCAACCATGCCGACCGAGAATCGCTCGACGACGCGTCTCCAAAAAGTGGACAACCTCCCGGGGGCATGCAGACACGGTCGAGCTTCCTTCTCTCAAGTCGGATGATGCACTGTGCTCGACGCCCCACCGCTCGACGATGGTGTGCTCTGGCATTCTACGACTTGAACCTCTCTTAACCCGAAGACGAGCTGTTCAAGAGATCAGCCAATGCCTATCAATCCAATCTTAGCCAGCTTTTAGCCGCGGACGCGCAGTCCTAGAAAGCGTCAAACCTCCTGAATGCATCATGCCGATTGAAAATATAACGACGTACAGTCTGTAAGTAACGGCAGATCAGACTGTGAAGATAGAAACGCGTATAATTCCAGTATACCTAGGGCCCAATAAGATAGATGGTGGTGGTGGACGCCGTTTGCTACCGTCTTGCCCTGGCCCACACAGCCTGGAGGTCTTTGCACGGTGACGAGTTTCCTCCGCGAGGTGGACGTGGTAGGAAGCGTAAAAGTCAATGACATTCCCCTCGGGTGGGAATTCATTGACAAGGAAAATGGATATTATCGCATTATTGCCCGGTTCACTGCACCGACGGTAGGGAAATGCCTAGTGGTTTTCCAAAACCATGAGGGGTATACTATTCAAACATCTCTCCCGTTCTATGTGGGCGGGCTAGGGTCGGGCGCTATGGTCAACCATGGGACATAATCACCACCAGCCTACCCCTGGAGGGGTGTCTGGATTGATTGAACTGGAATTCGGCACGTACCAGATAATATAATGCCGGGGGGGGTGTCCGTATTCGCGGCTGTTGACGGTGTTGATCTCTTAATACATGACTCTGTATAGACGTTTCTTGTATTTGACTTATTCCGACTACGGCATTTGGCTATTCTGATTGGGGCACCCATGATAACAGCCGACGCCACCTGACACGCCCCGACCGTGCCTCCACTACGTACCTTACCTTATACTATAACTACAGGTAGGGCTGCAGTTCATTAAACGAGAGACGATATCGTTAATTAAACGAGCGACGATATTAATTACGCGTTACGCTGTAAGCGTCTTACTATTATCAGAATATTTTCGCTAGGTTATCCAGTCTCTTACTCTTCTACACGCCCGTATTCTCCTTTCGTTTTATATCCCTTTTTACTTTTAGCTATATATTCTAGAGGACGAGTTTAATCGCACGAATAGTTAAGCCGTTAGGTTTCTGCCTCGTGGTATATATACTCTTTCTCTTCTTCGATATCGAATTAAACTACCGCCCTCGCCTTCGTTCTCCTATCCCTACCGATCCTGTTATTCTTTATTATATACTAACTATTTATACGTAGCTTTTTACCCCTCCTAGAAGGAGGATTTCCCTTTTACATCTTAAGTATTAATATCACTATTATTTCTTCTATCCTGATAATATACGGCGCTATCCGGGGAGCTAACGATTCTATCTAGCTAGGCCGGAAGATATCTTTACTCTTTATTTCCCTTCGTTTTATCTATTTAAAAAGACCTCTTTTTTATAAATCCCACCTACCGACACTAACCCGACTAGGGGTGTTAAGATTCCTCCGCCCACTACCACTTCTACACTTCCGAGATATTAAGTCGTTCTATTCACCGAAGAAGAGGAAGAGCTGCCTCCCTATAGATGCCCCGGGGAGGTAGCATAATACTATAATATATCGAAGGGTCGAGTCTACTATTAAAGTTAGGCAGGCAGGTGTGATAAGATACCTAGAGACGCACGAAGATATTACGAAGACGCACGAAGTCACTCTGAAGAAGTTAGATTATACGAATAGACGATAATATATATCGGTTTACTATACTATATTAAGCGTTAAAGAATAATCCCGACCGGCCACCAATATCAGGAATACGGATTCCTTATTCCTGATATTATAGTATAATAGAAAGATATATTCGGCAGGTATTAGGGTAGTTTAGGTTTATAGCTTAGGGTTAAGCTATTATAAAGTCGGGCAGGCTATTATTGCTTCTATTCTAATAAGTCTTACCTTTACGGTACACGACACTAAAGATCTTCTAGTTCTTCCGCCTCGTAATATAAAGCTGCGTGTACACTGCCTAAACGGCCAACCTGCCTACTATCACCTTAAATAATTCTAAGCGCGCGATATACTACCGGCTACGGGGTTCCGTAAAGAAGAGATATCGACCTATCTGCCTGCGTCTCCTGCTTTAAGAAGAGACCCCAGAACCCGATACTATACCGAGCGCCTGACTATTACCGTATTACGTTTAGTTCGAAGGGAGGGACCAGGTTAACGGCTTCCTCTAGCCACTTCGTAGGTTTCAAGACTTTTTAGTACGTTAATATACGTGGTAATAGTTTAGTTACTAATATAATACTAAAGTCCTAGTAATACTAGGTTATAGTGGTCCGTGATCTATATTAGCTGACTAATCAGGTAGCTGGATAGCTAGGTACCTCGTAGATTTCTTTATGGATCCGAGCATAGAGCTATCTCTTCCTCGCTTCTACACACATAATATATATACTTATTAGAGACTTTAAACTATAGTATATAATTTTATAGTCAGTTCTTTATCCACTTCTCTGTCCGATCTTTTTTGCTCGGACCCGAACCGATATATAATATATATATGGTAATAGTATAAATAAGGTGGTACGTAGGCTAAAGACTTAAAACAGGTTTCTGTTTTATGAAGTTACTAAATAAGGTATAAGGAGTAAGTACTACTCGCTACCTGCTTAGTATATTCTGTAATCATAAAACTGTTAATGGTATTAAGTACATCAAACATAGATTTATTAATACCTAAGAACCTTCACATAATCATAAACAGCAAGCATATTAATCTTCTCTCTTGAATTCCCTGTCACTATATTATGACTACTACTCGAGAGACGTCGCGGGCTACAAAGGCGTTCTTAGCCAAATTCAGACGCCGCAAACACACGATATACAGCAAGCTACGCGATATTCACGAGGATTGTAATGCCGAAGTGTACCTAGCTATCCGCTACCGTGGAAAGTTCTACTGTTTCGCTGCCTTAGATGATACAAACTTCCCCCCTCCGGTATCTGAAATTGTGAGTCGAATAGCTTAATGAATAAAATTCCTGATTCTGAATTTCTGATATTGACTATTTAGTAGAGAACAACCTTTCCAATACCGGAACTTCATTCCCCGAGCAGTCTAAGACGTAGAACCACAGCAAGCAAAAAATAAGCTTCGGTATTAGCCTATAACCCATAGCCACTGGCCCACTACCGACGAGTCAGGGTTCTCTTATATTACTTAAGCTCGGCTGCCAGGACCAGCAGCAACTTGACAGCAGCATAAAGCCACCTCGAATAAGACAGACGAGGGCGTTTAACGCCCCGCGGCTCCGGCAAATTATACCACTTCCTCCGGTTTACCCCTTTAAACTACTCTATAGCTTCTTATATCGATAATCCTATTATAGGGGTAAAAGCAGACTATTATATTCAGATATTTATTATATATATTAGTTTACGGAGATCGCTTAATAATAAAGGCATGTATATATATATTATATTACGATCTATACCCGTATATATGCCTAGTTAGGTAGTTTTAGTACCGGCCGAGTAGCTAGCTAACCTATAGCGTCTAGTAGTTAATAGCTTTATCCTGGGTATATTAATAACGTGAAAGTACCCGCGTGTTCTGTATAATTAGTAAGGAGAATACCGGGGAAGGTATATTTTAAACTATTAATAGTAGAGGAATATTAGAGACTAAAGCAGAGTATCCACAGAATAGAACTTTATTCTAGAGCGTCTGTATAACCTCGTTACTTATCTAAGTAGTACGTACCTATACCTAATAGTTAGTAGGTATAAGAATACCCTATTTTCTATTAAGAATTCACCTATTACCGGTACTACTACTACTAGAATAGACTAGTTCGGGTTCTATAGCCACTATTAACACACTTAAAAGTACGGGATCTAGTTATTTAGGGAGTATTAAGGGTATATTCTAAGCCGACGCCGTAAGTGCCGCCGTTATAATAACTATAAATATCGCAATTTAAGATACCTAGCTTAATACCGAACCACTATAACCGGGCTAGCGGATAGCCTAAATAACCCTTAAGTACTAAAATCCCTGATTTAGGTTTAGGTATAGCGGGTAACCCTTAACCTCTCGCGGCTAATCCTAAAACTAGTTCCCCGGTAAGTCCCCTTTAAGCTAGCTAACTAAGACTAGGCTAATAGGAGAGCCGATTAGGCTAATCTAATAGAAGGCTCGGATAATATTCCTTCGGAGATAGCTAATCCGGCTTCGGATCCCGCCGGTTATACTAGAGCCTATAATTACCCCGACCAGGGTTCCTTCTTTAATCCCCCGGAGAATCTAGCTCCGGATACCGTAAGTAGCGGTATAGGTAGTAATAACCCTTTTAGTCTTCTAGTAAATACTAGATAGAGTGGAAGACGCTTATCTAATATAAGAGCAGGCTATTTCGGATATAAACGGAAATACGGATAAGAAGCTAGCTCCTCTAAACTCTTTAGTAAGGTCCTTTCTAACCTAGTCGATCGGAATTAGACTAATAGCAGAACCGAATAGGTTAACCCTCCGGATAACTTAACTAAGTAACCTAAGGAAGATAAAATCAAAATAACTAGCTATAATACGGTGCTATTAAAGGCTAATCTAGAGATAAAGGCTAATATAGGATTTAAGTAAGCTATTTATTAAATTATACTAAGAGAGTAGTAATTTAACTCCTTATTTACTCTGTATAATAAGTGACTCGTAGGTATATTCTAAGACTATTTAAATATTACTTAACGCTAAGGCCGGTCCGCTAAATACCCGGGCGATTATAAGTACTTAGCCGTATCGGCGAAGCCGGCTTACTATTACTAACTCCCGGGGGTAAGAACTATTTAAGCTTCACGATATAGTCCTATTATAATAACTAGATCTTCTATATAGTCTAATCTCGTATTATCTTAATACCTAGGAACTACTATAACGGGTCGCTACCCTATAAGCTATAGTATTACTTAGGGGATATATAAGTATATAGCTATTAACCTATTAAACGGCCTAAGGCTGCCTACTAATATATAATAAGTCTTATACTACTTCGTTAGCACCTAATCCTGCCTAACCCGGCCGTTTCTACTAGTAAGTTAAATAGGTAATAGTAGACCTCCCTTTCTACTACTATTCTGATAGAATATTAAAGATATCTGTTATAGTCGGGCTCAGTATCTTTTCCTTAACCTCGCCTAGATCTACATAGCTTAATAAATCAACCATCACTAATATAATAATTTCCTACACTACGGCATAAGCAGCTTTACTATTCCGCTCAAACCTCTACTTATTCCTACTCGTCTAATCCTTTAGCGACGTATCCCACGCAGCCTGCAAGCTACGCTCAGCCTCAACCATTCCACACTAGGGCCTAATAGGGCCACGGGGCCCCGTAGCTGTAATTTTGCACGGGGCCCCGTGCCGATTATGTAAGCCTGACTCGGCCACCACCAACGCGTCGCGATTTCGAGCAACAGCCGCGCCTACTCAGAGTAACTAATTCTTCTCAGCTATCTGCAAAGATGGATCAAACTGAAGGCGCCAATTCGTTTCCAGACGATTGTCTCCCTCCTGCCACATGTCGCAGGGTCCTTATGCAGCCCAATATCCAGAGAGGCCATAGTAGAGTTCCTTGCGGGGTTTCACAGCGAATGCGATGACCTGGTTTCAGTCCCAGACGAGTCCATCCATTAGGAAGAGCGATGAGAACCCCTCAAGCTTGTCCCTGAAATTGGCACAAGCAAGCCAGCCCGCATTAATATGCTTAGAGTTCTGGCCCATAATCGGAATCTTCCCGAAACTCTTGTCAATGAGTGATCCTCTATCCTGCAAACGTGTTTCTTTGGTCCTGCGTCGCTTGCTTTGCCGCTCATTTGCCGTACGAAGCTCCTTGTTCTCTGCTCGGAACTTTCGTGACCGTTCAAGTATAAGTAGTCGATAGACTCCCTTCGTACGATGTTTGGTAGATTGGTCGAAATGTTTTAACTAATTAAGGCTAATCTCGTTTGTCGTCCAGCCATTTTCGCTTGTATGGACTCTCTATTCGGGCTGGAATTGGCTGTTCTGGTACTAGGGGAGGAGGTGGTTTTTTCCCTTGACGACGAAGTACGACGGCACGATTCAACCAGACCGATACGTCGGTAGTGTGACGACTAGTGGCGTATGCATGCTGCAAGAGATGGGCCTTGCTATTAACATAGTAATAGTTTTCGTTGAAGAGATTGGTCCCTCTATGCGCGGGGCTGATGGCTTTGGCCCTGCTCCCTGGTTTTGTCGTCCACCAAGAGAGTCTAGGTTGTGTACCAGTCCTAGACTCCCTAAGGCCGCCGATGGTACGTTTCACGGCAGCGCACCGATGAAAGCTGAGCAGGTCGCCGACACGGGATGCTCTATATCTATAACTTTACTAGCCTCCACCATAAGAAGCCCGGTTGGCCGTATGCTTCGGCTTGGAGAGGAGCGATATGGCACTGGTAAATTCGGTGATCCTTTCCTATGCGTTTGTATCCTGTCGCTGATTTGCTGAGGACGTGCCACTGTGTGCACTGATGAGCAAATATCCCTTGTTTCTGCATTTCTACCACCTTGAATTTGAGGTATCTTTTCCTTGCCCGTTAAATATTTTCTAATGATGGTTCATTATTGACCACGCGAAGCTCTGCTCGGCATCTATTGTTATGAATAAGGCAAGGGTGAGATGTCTTGCTGAGTGGATTGCGCACGGTATATAGGGGGCATGACGTCCCGAATGCTCTAGCCTAATTTCCTTCTCCTATACTTCGTTCTTTCCTCCACAGATTTCTCCTTTCTTTTTCCATTCTAACAGGCATTATCCCCGTTATTAAAGAATAACGATAATCTCTGGGGGAAAAGACCCCCTTGAATAATGCTTCACTGGTACCCTAAAAAGAACCAGCCTCTTGCGGCCGCCAGAACAACCTAACTTCAACGTGATAGAGCTGACCGGCCCTATCTGTTACGTTACAATCGTCGTTGCCTCTCGGAAGTCGGGTCGGGAATACTCACTAAGGATCCCCGTAAAGGTGCGGCTCGCGAAATTTTCCAGAGAAGTCGACCTTGATAGGCACTTCAGCGATGGCAAAAGGAAATACGTCCAGCAAGACAGCTCATTTGCTCTCAGTGATAAGGATTTAGCTGATACGGGATTAGGCGAGGTAATATCGCGTTTGAAAGAGGAGAGATCTAACTGGTTCTCCTCCTAGGTGACACGTAACGGCCAAAAGAGTGCAAAGACTCCTATTAACGAGATGCTCTATGAAGCCATCCCTGAAGAGCTTCAGCAGAAGGTGAGTTTTAAGTACCTTAGCATATAGCATATACGACAGCTAACAGGCGAATCAGACGCCCCCTCGGTGGATTTTAGACCTTCTTAATATTCTCTACTTTGCTGGTGAGCGTTATTAGCCGTTTTCGTGACCTCGCTGACTCCCCTGAAGCTTAGAGGCATAACACAACATTTCTTGCCGAGGGGGATAAGTTAGGCCAACATCCCCTTAACGCACCGGGTACTCTAATCGACGGGAAACGGTTTTTCCTAAGGTTGCTGGGATCCAACTTACGAATATCTTATACGGAATCCTATAAGAATGGGAGACAGAACTGTTCTGTTCACCAATATTGGAAGAGCTTCTGCGCAACCCTGAGCTTTAACCCTGGATATCGGTTATCCCGAAAATCTTCGAGAAATAGTATTTCTTTGTCTCTGAAGACGTTAGTCGTCTTCAAATGCAGAATCCCCAGGGAGTAAGTAAGGATAAGTGGGATTGGCTTCGAAACCTTATAAGTTTGTAAAAGAGTTCAAGAGGGATGCTCAGCTTGCCATGGACGCGCAGACGAGATAATTTGTGGCTATCAAGGCTGGTTTTTGTTACGGCTTTAGTGGAACACAAGTTGTCAATTTCCATCCGCTCTATATCGCCCTCGGTGCGTAAGTCTCCAGTTCTTTAGCCATTACCGCCTAACTAAGCAACTACTGATAAGATCTAGGAAGGGGTCCATTCCGTTCGTCGAGTAAGGTAGGGAGGTATTATGCAAACCAAGACACTTGAAAATCGTGGACCTAAGCTGGCCAGCGGTCTTTTCTTTCCTTTTTCCTAAGCATTTAATTCCTCGTCGGCGCGATCGTGTAACTTTTGGCACGTATCTCTTATCAGCGACGCCATAAGTTATTGGATGCCTGGGCCCAGTACAACACACCTGGTTCAACCGTGACGTGAACACCTTCACCCGAGATTAAGACTATATACAGGATTTGGAACGCCTTTAAGTCAAAGTTCCTCCTCCCCCTCGATCTCCTGCAACGGCTGTGGTGGGGACTGGCAGGATCGGAATCGTGCATGTGAGAATATATTTCGTTGCCTTAAAGTCGGCGGGACTAGTCGATTTTTGATAATGTACTTTGAGCTTGTGCAGTCTTGCTGTATCGAATGGCTGGAGGATTAGGGTGTCCTTGTGCTTGGGAGTGATAGTAAGTTTTGGGTATACTAAGCGCAGGGTGTTAGATAGGCATAAGGCGTTGGCCTGCTTTGTGGCATAGCTGTGCTGCCAGCGTTGCCTGGTGTCATGTATGTGAGGCTTTCGGCTAGCGTCAGCTAACAGGCCTTCTTTTTTCCCCCTTTTTTGGCAAACGAGAGGTTACCGAGGTTCTGGCTTGGATATATGATTAGTGAGTGAAATACCATAAGCTCCACCGCGTGCTGCGCAACAAGCGATAAGCACGCGCCACTAAATAAACAGACTCCACTTCGACTAAATAAGACCTTAAAGCACCCCTAGCTCGTGGCGATCCTACTATGGCGTCGATCCTACGGCGACTAGCATTTAGCTGTATTAGCGCACTTTACGACTCCGCACTTTCTTGAAAAATCCTGGCTAAGACGTCTTTTCCAAAAAAGGATCGCCTGGCTGTCTAAGGTAGCCTGCTGCTTAGGAACCGTCCCTTTACTCGCGGTTCTTTTATGCTCCATTGACCTCACTTCAAGCCTTTGCCCTGGATAAGCCGTGACGTGTCCTTTCCTGCCGATAGCCCTAATTGCGTCCAGCGCTAACCAAGGGCCCGTATATGCTACCGCCAAATCAACAAGTTCTGCCCTTAAAGAGCGAAGTGCAAGTCGGCCTGCCTGCTTCCTATCCAGAAGAGGAGGGGGTTTGACCTGGCACTAGTCCCACCCGCTCCCGCGTCCGCATAAGTAGTTGCGCGAGAGCTGCAACGGTGTCTGGCACCATGGCCCACTCTCGGGCAGCTCTGATCCCTCCCCGTGAGGACGTGCCCGGGCTGTGTTTACCTTTTATCAAGGGGTGTCCTGACCACTGGCGCAGGCTGGCCCTCATTTCCTTGCCAGATCCCGCCTTACCGCCGGCATAAGTCTCGAGCAGG